GGGCCTCACCACCTCATACACCTAAGAAGAGAAGGCATGTCACTGCTTTTCCAGCTCTCAGATCTTGGCAATTTTCATTTGCTAGAGGAATTATCAAGATTTTTTAACTATTATTATTATTTTTTAAGCTTACCCTCTCCCCTGGGAATGCCATGTCTGGGTTGGAGGTAGCAGCAATTTTTGCCAGAGCATGAGAAGCCTTTATCTTGCCAACTTCTGTGCCTTCCACAGCCAGAGGTATCAGGGCCTAGTGACACACAGGAAAGCATTCAATGCCTCTGAGAAAATTCACAGGATTGCCTTAATGTACTAAAACAAGTTAAAAATATCTTAAAGATGTATCTGTTGAAGAAACGTGTCTGGACTGTAGCCCAGAGTGATGTCTTTGTCTTTTATTTGTTCTCAAATAGGCACCACACCAGAGCTTGTAGCTCACATTCAATTGTTTCAAGAAGACTGCTTCATTGGAGGCTTCCAGAGGAGCATCAGTCTGGGCCCAAGGGGCTACCAGACAGCTCATGCTTTTCTGTCACCTTCCCTCACTGCAGACCCATTGCAGGCTCTGAACAGACATTAACTGCACATCAAGTTGGGCTGCAAACAAAGTAATCACCTTTCCACCACCTTGAGCGACAATGGTCCCACGGTCCTTGGGGTCTTCACACAAGGCAAGAAACACTCTGCAGAAGCAACAGCATCACTTAGTGAAACAGCTACATGGGAAGGCAATAACCCACAGTCCCACGGAATGGGGCTCAGGTTTTGCAGGGGTGACATTTCCACCAGGTAAATTCCAGACGTTTAACCCAGTGCTCACGGCACCGTGGGAGGAAGCAACAAATGGCACAGCAAAAAGTTTCCAGGCCCGAAAGATGAACTCTATTCCAGTCAAAACCAGTAGAGAGGACTAGAAATTCAAAAGGAATCCTAGCAAAGCAGGCCTGTAAGCCAGCTTCAAGGTCAGAATGTAGATTTGGGTTTAAGTCTTTTCTCCCTTTCCCTTCCATCTTGCCCCTATAGGCAGAACGCACCACCCCATGAAGCAAGGAGCCAGCCCAGGTGCCCATCTCGGTGGCACACAGGCTGGCCACCGCTCCTGGCTCCCACAACAGCAGTGAAGGTACCTGGCAATGAGCTCCTTGCTCTGGTCTGTCAGTATGGCGCTGTCCGCCTTCATCATGCAGGCCAAGGCAGAGACGACACCGGCTTTCAGCAACCGCTTCACCCGCTTCACCACAAAATCCTTCTTGTCCTGAGGAGAGACATTAGCAAGGGATGAGCCCCTCAGCAGCTTCCATCCTGCTGACTACAGCCAGGCCTGGTTGGAGAGCAAAGCAATTTCAACCCGGGAGACAGGAGACCTGAGGTCTGTGACAATGGACACACCAAGTAAGGTCTTCAGATCTGAGCATTTCCTCCCAGCTCCCCAGTTGTAGCCAACCTACCTTTGGATGCTCCTCAGGCACATGCTGCTTGGAGAATTTTGCCAGTTGCACCAGCTCTGGGACCAGCTCCTTGGTGTCATAGCTGTTGGTACAGTTCACCAGTGCAGAAGCCACA